CTGTACTAATAATCACCAGCATCAGCATCAGCATCATCATCATCATCATCATCATCATCATCATCATCATCATCATCATCATCATCATCATCATCATCATCATTATTATCGTCATCACCACCATCATCATCACTAGCATCAACGCCATCGCCCCTTCCCTCATCAAAGTCCCCCTGCACGTAACCGCCCATTCCCCCGCATCCTCATCCCCCCAGCATCCTCTTCAACCTCTACCTCCACATCTCCCTCCTCCCCCTCCTCCACTACCTTCTCTTCCTCATCATCATCCTCCGCATCCCCCTCATCCTCATCATCCGCATCCTCCTCATCAGCATGAATATCATCAGCAGCAGCATCATCACCACAATCACCATCACCGTCACCATCACCATCACCATCAGCATCATTATCATCGTCATCATCAGCAGCAGCCGCATCATCATCATCAGCATCAGCATCAGCATCAGCATCAGCATCATCAACATCATCATCAGCATCATCATCGTCATCATCTTCACGTCATCAGCAGCATAAGCATCATCATCGTCACCCACCAGAACAACATCGCCAGCGTCATCAACATCATCGTCACCATCATCAGAATCTCAACATCAGCAGCAGCATCATCAGCATCATCGTCATCGTCATCGTCATCGTCATCGTCATAAGCATCAGCATCGTCATCGTCAGCGTCGTCGCCACGACAGTCACCATCATCATCAGCAGCTTCATCCTCATCATCATCAGCAGCAGCATCATCACCAGCACCAGCATCAGCATCAGCATCATCACCATCGTCAGCATCGTCAGCATCGTCAGCAGCAGCAGCAACAGCACCATCACGATTATCATCATCATCATCAGTATCATCATCAGCAGCATCAGCATCAGCGTAAGCATCAGCAGCATCATCATCAGCATCATCATCAGCCTCACCTCCCTTGGAAACGGACACCCACAAGCCCCGTTATCCGCACCAGTTCCACCACACTCTCTCCATCCTCCTCCTCCTCCTCATGCTCCTCCTCCGCCTCATGAGCATCAGCATCACCGTCATCATCAACATCAGCAGAAGCAGCATCATCAGAATCATCATCATCATCATGACCTCCCTTGGAGACACAGGTCCCCCGGCCCCGTTATCGGCACCACCAGCGCGCCCCGCTCGTTGTGCTCGGAGCACGCGCGCCCTGCGGTGCGGGCTTCAAAGCCGTCTTCAAGCAGCCAGGAGGATCTTCCGACCATCACATACTCCCCATCATCATCATCATCATCATCATCATCATCATCATCATCATCATCATCATCATCATCATCATCATCATCATCATCATCATCATTATCATTTTCCTCATCATCATCCTCAGCATCATCATCACCATCATCATCATCATGACCATCATCATCATCATCATCATCATCATCGTCATCATCATCATCCTCATCATCACTCTTGAGCTCACCATCACCATAATCGCCACGCTCATCACCCCCTCACTATCACGATAGGATCATTAGCAGCAGCATCATCATCAGCAGCAGCAGCGGCATTATCATAATCCTCATCAGCAGGGCGATCCTTGTCACCAACATCGTCGTCGTCACCAGCACCACCGCGATCCTTATGACCATCTTCATCAACACTACCATCGTCAGCCGCAGCGATATCATCATCATCATCAACATCAACATCCTCCTCACCACCATCTGAATCATGATCATCGTCATCGTCGTCATCACCATCATAAGCAGCATCATCATCATCATCATCAGCAGCATCAGCATCATCATCATCATCATCTGCATCATCATTATTATCAGATTCATCATCATCATCATCATCATCATCATCATCATCATCATCAAATCCTCATCATCATCACCATTTCCATCATCAGCATCATCATAATCTTAGGTCGAGCATGTTCCCTACAGGGGGATTTTTGACGAAACATATAAGAAAAAATCGAACGATACTCAAATATTCACAAAAAATGACAAAGATCGCCCCCCCTACTATATTGCATTTTTGATGAATATTCCCCCTGTGGAGGGACACGACCGACTTAATCATGATCGTCATCATCCTCCTCATCATAATCAACATCATCAGCATCAGAATCATCATCATCATCATCAGCATCATCATAATCATGAACATCAGTATCGTCATCAGCATCATCATCAGCAGCATCATCAGCATCATCATAATCATCATCGTCGTCATCGTAATCATCAGCAGCATCCTTACCGTCCTTGTCAGTATTTCCATACCAACTCTTCTGCTCCACCCTCTGCAGGTTCAGGATGGCAGACACCTTGTCTGCCAATGGGTGTTCTGGCAATTTCGCTGTCTTCAATCCAAGCAACTGCGCCTTGAGCGCCAGCCGCCAGCGTGCGACTAGCCGCGATTCTCTCTGAAGACAGCTGGCAGCACAGGTGTGTCCGCCAGCGCCGCGCGGAGGATCGCCTCCCTGTCCGTGTGGCTGTGGCAAAGGCGCAGTTGCTGTCGCAGATTTCCGCTCAGCATCGTATGTTTCAGCAGGACAAATTCATTCGTGAGATACGTGGTGCTTCCAGCTTCTCAAATCGGCACTTATGCCGTGAGTGAATCCAAGATCAAGCTCCTGTTGCTATCCCACCTCGTGGCCGTGGTCAGCCGACTGGAAGTGCTGCTCCTCCAGAGGCAGAGCGTTCCGGCGCTCAGCAGAACAAGGCTGAACGGATGACCAGAGAACCGTGGGTACGACGACAGCAACCAGCGGCCACAAAGCCCCCGTCACGAAATCGACGACGGAGTTCTGCTTCAGTGACCTTCGCCGAGGACGGGGCGGAGAAAGTCTCCAATCAGACGGTCGAGTATCTTGCCATCTTGCCTGCCCTTCCAGCCCATGTTACGTCTCATCCGCGCTTTCCTGGGATGTTGCCCGAGGACGCGCCCGAGGCCGACGCGAAGCAATACATTGCCCGACGCCGCCAAGAAATGCGAGTGCTCGCGGCAACAATCAGGAAGAAGGAGTCGTTCGGAGACTTCTCCGAGGACGAGTGCGAGTGGTACGTGGTGCTGCTCACAGTTATCCATATTTGCCCGCCTCTGCAACAGCGGAAGGAGAAGCAGAGGGCTGCACTGCAGCGTGCTCAGGCGAAGCTCGAGACTCAGCACAAAAGCCATCCGTGCCAAGGAGTCCGAGCTCGACGCATTGCGGGCGCTGTGAGATCAGACCGAGGA